TTCATTGAACACAATATATTTGTATTTAAGAAACATTTAAAGCATTTTGGAACAGTAAACATGACAGGCTAATAATTAAAATAAATCACTGACTTCTGCTGTCTTCATTAGTTTCAAATCAACTTGAAAAGACCCAAATGTTTGGATATCTTTATTTTCTTTGGACATAAAGTAAGCGACTGCACTGTTCAGGTCTATATATATTTTTTTATTATTACATTTTTTTTTTAATTTGATGTTTTCTGTTTTCCTTCTCTACTAAAGGAATCTGTTGCCTTACACTAAATAAAATAGTCCAAAAAAATGTAATTTACATTTACCCCAAGAACGATTTAACACAAAATTTTAGCGGTTTTAAAACCTTGACTTTTCCAAACCACCATAAACCTTGAAACCGGTTATCGTCCCATGCATAATGTGAACTGTGTAAAGATGTATAGTTTAAGGGTGTATTCACATCTAGACGTTTGTTTGGGAACCTGGCGCGTTTTCCGAGTTAGAACGGTTTGTTTGGCATATGTGAATCCAGCAATCGCACTCAGATCCACGCCAAAACAAATGGTCCAAGATCACCTGAATGACTGAGAAAGCAAAACGTTCCAACGAACTAAAAAATAGGCATGGGACGATAACCGTTTTCAAGGTTTATGGTGGTTTGGAAAAGTCAAGCTCTACGAGCTCTTTTTACCCAGACATTTAAAAAGAACATATTTTAAATGCCATAAATTAAAATAAGGACGCTTGACAGTTGACCAACTAAACTCTTTCAAACTTTGCAGTGTGAAAGCGAACCACACCAAGAACAAAGAGCAATATTGTAACAATTTTAATCCTTGTTTTGGAACACAACGATCGATCTACAGGTGTGAAGGCACCCTAAGACATTTAAAAATGCAAGAAAACAGACAATGCTTTAAAAAAAACAATTTAACAGTTTATTAAGCTCTAAAAAAATGTATAAACTATTTTACGTAAAATATGTATTAATCAGTTATAAGTGCAATAATAGCACTTAAATAAATGTACATGGGAATGTTTGGAGGTGTTCAAATGCTGAGAACTAATTAGTCAAAGGCCTCTTTGTCTCTGAGATGATCCTGATTGGTCCTCATTTGATTGGTCCACAAGTGCTTATTGTCTCAAATATTGAACCAAGTTAGATTTTGACTTTGTAAATGTTTTTGTAGAACTTTTTTTTCTTCTAAATGCAAAAACATGCACAATGTCAATTTGTTAGATTTGTGACAACTTATTTACAATGTCAGATAGACCATTATGATTTCAGGGTGTATCTTACTGGGATTTTTCTTTCTTTTTTAAAATTTTTTTTTTTATACAAATCTAAACAGCATGCAGATATAGAATTTAGCAGATAACCAGTTGTTCCAGTTATTGGTGCAAAACTTAACAATCAAACAGCCTCCACTACACAATCATATTCAGTTTTTTATCCACCTCTATTAGTGTGTGTGTGTTTGGCAGTGGGCCTCATACGCCCCGGGGTTGAACAGTTTGTCTGGGTCAGGCAGCTGGTTGCTAAGGAGCAGAGAGCAGACAGCCATTCTTACACACACACTCACACACGCACTGCGGTGGGGGCTGGGATGGGCTGTAAGAGACAAGTCAACAGAGAAAAGGACAGACAGAGCCAGAGAGAGAGAGAGAGAGGGAGAGAGAGGAGGGGGCAACAAAGCAGTCTTTCATGCGTTCTGCTCTCCCGCCTCTGGCCGTCATCCTGAGCTGAGTATTTTCGGATCAGCCTCTGTTTTTAACCGTTCTTTCTGTTTAAATATGGCCATTTAACCCATTTGCCTTTCAGTTTCTTGAAAGATTGAAACTTTTCCTGCATGGATCACTCACTTGTTGTTAACTCTCTCTCCAATTCGGTAAAATTTCTGTCGTCTGCTCACTTTTCAGATAACACCGTTTAGTGTCGTCACTGACCTCGAAATACCTTCAGTGTGTGTGTACGCGTGTAAGAGAGAGACAGCTTGCAAGAGTGTGCCGGGTGTTTGTTGCAAAAGGGCGGCTGCCAGCGTCGGCATCTCTAATTTATTTTTAAACCATCTTCGCCTCAGTCTGTAGTCCAGCTCCGAGGTGCTGAGGAAGCTTTTTGCCTCATGATTGAGTCAGATCAGATCAGAGAGGAGAGATGTGCTGCTCAGCTGCTTTGATACTTGAATGTAAATGTGGAATTTCAAAGCAGGGAATTTGAAACATTCAGCCGGTGCAGATTGCATTAATTATACTGTAGGAGGGGGAAATCTCACCAAACCTGCCAAGAACGTGTCCTAGTTCTACTTCACGACAAAGTCAGTAGGAACATAACAAGATCTTACAGTTGTGTAATATCAAGCCTAGGTGTTTAATATGAATTAAGGCACAATATACAAGATATTCTAAAAATCAATAGAACAATGTTTTATATTTTGACTATGTACTTACATTAAATCCCAAATATTTTGAAGAATTCTCAAATCTAGAGAAATAGGCTATTTTAATTAATGAAATCAACATGCCCTGTGTTGCCATGCTAATGACGTCATAAACAATCAATTTCTGGTTTGGTTTTATATAAAACAGGGAAGTTTCACAGTGTCGCTAAATTACTCTTGTTTGTTGTTAACGTCCGCCCTCTAGTGGTGAAAACTGCAAACTGTGCCTTTTGATTTATTTTACACAAATAGAGCATTGAGCTTATTCTTGATGCGGAAGTGCGCTCGTTTTTTTTTTTTTAATTTATTTATTTATTTTTTTCTAACTACCAATTCAGTTGCCTATGGGAGAAATGACTAGGAATAATAAACTGCAAAAACGGTCAAACTACTTGCTCTACAAGCAAGTGTGTTCATGACGATACAGAAAAATCGGAATAATATATTAGGAAAATATCAGTCTGCAACAGCAAGCATTGTAACAAGCTGTTTTAAACGTCTGAAAATGAATGAAAGTGAATGAGACCGGAAGATTCAAATTGCTGCATGCGCTCATACGTGAAGAATAAGGTCAATATGCACAGCTAGTGTTTATTCCCATACCAATAAGCTTTCCGTCAATGGTTATTGTCACTTTTTTTCAATTTTATGCTGTTCCTTTTATAGGATTGATGTTGTAATGTAATGAAAATACAATCAGTTAAATACACTTCAGTATTTATTTAGTTGTTTAAGAATATAACAATATTAAAAGCATTTACATGCTCGCGCATGTCAGGATTAGCAGGCTAATGCAGAAACTATTGAAAATACTGGGGTAAAATAAATGTTCATATTTTAAAGACATGGTGGGGGAAAATGTAATTTAATGCAGTGCTTCTTGTACATTCTGAGACCCACTTATATCCTATATCAATCAGGTCATTGATTTTTAAAGAAAACGCACCGATTTTGTAATGGCCTACAGCTCACCGGAAGTGTTTAAAAAGTCTTTCTGCATAAAGCAAATTCTTATTCCGCTGTGGTGACCTTTGATAAATAAGGGAGTTAGCCGAATAAGAAATGAATGAATAAAATTCATATATAATTTATATATATATAGCCAAAAAAATGCATTGTAAGAGTCAAACCTGTTTATCTTTATGTTGAAAATAATTATTGTTTAGTAATAATCTTGTTTCATGAAGACAAACAAGACAAGACAACAAAGTGAGATTTTTGATTAATAATGTGCATTGCTAGTAACTCAATTTGGACCTCTTTAGAGGCTATTTTTTTTCCAATAATTTGATTGTTGAATCATCGCATTACAGATTTTCAATTACTTGTATTTCAGTTAAATAATGCCTAAATTCTAAATTCTGCTTCTAAATCTTAAGAAATCACACATCAATTGATATTGTATTTATTCACATGATGAATCTCAATTTTTTAAAAAAAAATTACTTTTAAGACTGCTTTTGTGGTGCAGGGTGGTGCTGCACAATTTATAGCATTTCAGCATTGATATTGCAATGTGCGCATCTGCAATCGCATCGTAAAGATAAGCAATGTTAAGTCTGAATTATAGTTTAGCATGAGCTACTGAATTGTATTTAATCACTGTATTTATGTGATTTATGCAACAACAACAACAAAAATGTTTTACTTAGAAGTTTTGTCTTTGTTTCTATTTCAAATATCAACATTTCAAAGGAAAAACAAGATTATTTAACTTATTATTAAACTCTTGATTTTGCCTCATTTTATCTGAATTTCAAAGCAAAACAATATTTTTACTTGATCTAAGATGTTATTTTAGATATTTGGTTTAGAAATTAGACGAAGCAAAGTAAGAAAAGTATTTTTTGCATTGTGATTGTTTAATTTGTGTACATGAATACTGTTAGACACCCCAGAACACAGTCAAATAGTGCTATTCAACTATCATGTGAGTCTGTATTTTCATCGTAATATTTATCGCACAAAAATAAAATTATATCGCGATATTAGATTTTTCCAATATTGTGCAGCCCTAGTCCAGGGTCATGTGTAAGAATTCTGAGAGAAAATCACCAAATAAACATTACAAATACAACATACAATGTAAGTAACTTTAGAAAGGATTTGCTTTAGTCTAGAACTTATTACACAAACTTTACACTGCATCAGGCATATATTGTTGAACATAAAACATAATTTGGTAAATTGTGTGTGTGTGTCTGTGTGTGTGTTTATATATATATATATATATATATATATATATATATATATATATATATATATATATATATATATATATATATATATATATATATATATATATATATATATATATATATAAGTCAGCGATGACCAGAAGTGTATGGTTTTACTGTTGTTCTTCAAAAAAATTATAGCAATAACTAGTTTTTTTTTTTTTTTTACTCTAAATTAGAAATATAAACTGCCAGTAGGGAGAGTAATTTCTTTATTTAAGTTACAGTCTAATAGAGAAATAGTGCAAATGACTTTAGCAATGAGTCATTAAACTGTTGGTACACCTGATTCTTTTTTTAATAAGAGACACCTCTTACTTTCTCTCAGCAGGATTCAGGCTCCTACCCTCCTAACACGCACGTTCCCGGTCCCAGCAACACCATGACCCCACAAACAAGCAGCAACAGCATCCCGGGTCACCATAATAATCCTGCCTACTTGAAGCAGCAGCAAATTCAGCTGATGAATCAACAGAAACAGTTTCAGCTCCAGAGACAGATCATGGTTGAGCAGGTGCTTTTTTTCTTACCCTTTATCATTTTGGTACGTTGCCAGCAGTAGTACAAAGACACAAATGTTCAGTAAATGCATTAATTAGTACTAACAATTATAATCCTATTATACTGAAATACTGCGATATAATAGAGTTTAACAGACCACTTCGAAATAACTGTTTCCTTATTTAACCTAATTTATTTCTGTCGTGATAAAAAGCCTAAATTTCAGCAGTCATTCCTTTAGTCTTCAGTGTCACATGATCTTTTGAAAATCAATGATTTGCTGTTAAATATATCTAAAACTAATATACGAGTTATAATGTAATAGTATATCAAATAAAACAAACATAATATTTTGCAAAGGTGAATCAAAAGTAACTGTGAAGGCATTTAAAATGACTTCTCAACCTTTTGCACTTTGGAGCCCTCTTCTTTCTCCGATAATTTTTTTTTAAGGCCCACCTGTCTGACATTTTCTCATAAATTTATAAAATGCTCATTTAAACCTTCATACATACATACATATATATATATATATATATATATATATATATATATATAAAACATACACATATTCAAAGAGAACCACAGGTCAACAGGGAGATTGCAAAAGATCAGCCTTAAACTGGACTGACTGGATATCTGCTAGTCAAAAATATCAACAAATGTAAAATACAGTAAACACCCTAAATCTGTTAAAAAGTGTCGATCTAATGGGGGTTGAGTTTGCAGCTGGACATTTTGGAAATATTGCTTACAAGAACAGTGAACAGCTCCGCCAGAGCGCATCTGAAGCTAATATACAAGTTTATTTTACATTTTATGGCAGAAACACCATTGAGCCTCGCTAGATCCTCCTGTAACACTCACAGGACAATAATTTGGACAACTATGCGGATATATTAAATGGTTCACACAAATACACAGAGAGAGACTTTCACTTCACGCATAATTTGTAAATGAACAGACTTGCGTGTACTAGCTGTAGACGCGATCATGAGGCTGTTTTTGCACCAAGTTTTAAGTAATCAGTCAGAGAACAGGAGAAAGTGCATTACTTCCAACATTTTAATGAAGCATATTAATGAGGAATTATAGTATAATATTGAAAGTTAATTTTAGTTTAATCAAAGTTTCATTTTAATCTCGCAGCCCAACTGCAAGATCGCTGAGGCCCACTACTGTGTTGCGGCCCACCGGTTGAGAATCCATGATTTAAAATACCTTATAACTAAAAAACTTTAAAAATACCTATAATAAATAATAATGTGTTTTATTATGTTGTTGTTGTTGTTATTATTTGTGGACCAAGACTAATTTGTATTTATTAAGCATCAAATAAGCATATCATACTGGTTTTTAATGAGTCATGTGACAAAAGAAGAAAATAATGGATGCTGTAATTTATGCTTTTCCATTCCACAGGAATGAATGACTATTGTATGGGGAAAAAATTATTTAAATTTAATATATAATATTAAAAATATGATAATGTTACTTTTTACTGCCATTTAAATTTATTAAAGCAAATGTCTTAATGGGCATAAGAAACTGTTAAAAACATTTGTAATTCTAATCTGATCTAAAATGTTAGATCTCTAATTGTAATGACCAGTAGTGTGTCAAAAGTTAATTTTTTTTCCATGGTTTAAAACCAGAGATGCCCAAACTAGAGCCCGTGGCCCAAAGTTTGCCCATGGTAACCTTTGATTTGGCCCACCATCCCATCTGAAAAGAGATTCTCTTTTCTAATTTAACATAACCATGTATTTTTTTTTTGTTTGTTTGTTTGTTTGTTTGTTTTTGTTTTATTGCTCTGCTACAAAAAAGGCAACTGAAATTAAATGTTTCAATTAAATGTATCTGTCAATGAATCTGATTTTATAAAATGTTAATACTGCATATCAAAGCAAAAACAGGTACTCCACTGAACTCCATTCTGTTATAAATGGGATTGTTTTTAATATAATGAGTTTATTATAAAATATAAACAATTATACTGCATTAGTTTATATGAGGCGATGTTTTCTAGTTTTTGTTTTTCAGTATCAAATAAATTAGTTAGTAAATTACCCATGACAGCTTTAACATAATTCAGTTTGATATATTTACCATAGCCCCACCACCCACAATCAAGTTAGGTTTTTTTGGCCCTTCATAAGAAAGTTTAGGCACCCCTGATCTAAACCATCTGAGAGTCTGTAAACCGTCCTACTTCATAGACCTGCCTCCAGGAGGCAGCGTTCTCACAAAAATTCACAATGCAGTGATGGTTCACCCAAAAATAACATTACCTCATCATTTACTGTCCCTCATAAGATTTTAAACGTTTATGATTTTCTTTCTTTTGACCAAAAAAAAGATAATTTCAAGAATGCTGGTTGCTGAAGCCTATTTTCTTCCATATGGATGGAAAAAATACCATAGAAGTTAATGGGTTCCAGCAACTAGTGCTTTCCAAAATATCATCTTTTGTGTTCAACTGAAGAAAGAAAATCAGAAAGATGTTGAGAAAATGAAGAGTGCATAGATGGCAGATTTTTCCATTTTCATTGAAGTCTGTGGGATACTGTAAGTTAACCATTGTTTTTTAGTAATAACTGAAGCGTTTGTTATAGGAGAAGCAGCGGCAGCAGCAGGAACAGCAGCTGCAGAGACATTTGACCCGTCCACCACCTCAGTACCAGGACCAACAGAACCCGCAGGCCCAGCAGAACCCTTTCCAGCAGCAACAGCAGCAGGTCTCCCAGTTCACCAGTGTGCCGCCCTGCCTGGCCCAGCAGCACACCTCCAATTTCAGCGAACACACCATCTCTGGTAATCACTTTTCTACTTGATTATCAAATGACCACATTTACACCTGCTGTAACTTGTCTTTTATGTTGGATCAGTTGTATTCTGTCAACAAGAATTAATCAAGACATACACTTCTACTGGAATGTGGTTATGTCTGACCATTGCTCATATTATATAGTTATATAGGGGTTTGGATCCAGCCAGGAATTAACTTCAGACCTTTGTATCTTTCACGTCTCTTCTTTTTTGATCATGTAAAGTTCCATATAATTTGAGCTTCCTCCCTCGGTAGGTCAACACAAGTAGCCTTTTGTTACTAGTCAACAAACAAGCCCATCTGGTTTGCATTTGTGTGTGCTTATTGATAGACTAATTTGAATGTCAGAAGTACAAAATAGTAAGTGTGTGGCGAGGTGTTCTACTGTTACACGCAGCGTACTTCATTCATCTGGGAATCTATTTTTGATGCTTACACATGGTAACAGGCTATTTCCAAGCTAGCTAGGTAGAAATGTGATGAAAGAGTTTAGAAAGCTTTATTCCCCAATCTGGCAATTAAAATTGACTGGCCTGAAAAACATAACCCTGAGTTCTGGGTTATGAAGTAAGTAGGATGAAATTGTTTCATTCATGGTTGCTTGAATGAAAATTGTCTGAATCTGTTTTCTAAATCTAGTTTCTGTGAAGGATTTATCATTGGGTCTTGATGCAATATTATTATTAAATTGTTCTCTGATGTCTACATAGAAAGTAAGTGGCTAAGGTAAGTGCAAAAATATCCAGAAACAAGTTTACATGTCCATTTCCAAGCCTAGGAATTAGTCCTAATGTAAAATTGTTGGTTTTGACCATATTTGGAAGGGTCATTCAAGACCAATCTTTTCTCTTATGTCATTATTTTGCCACCTTTGAGTAACTTGGACTCATTTTAATTTCTCATTTCTTATTTTAGGTGCATCTCAACCAATAGGAAATGTAAACACTCTCAGTGGCCCCGCTCCTGGAACACAGCGAATGTTCTCTCAGACTCAAGGCATGATGGGAATAGGAGTTGGCCAAAATGCTGGTCCAAATACTGGTCCCTCTACGGCTGCCAGTCAAGCAGACATGAGCCTCCCACCCTGCAGCAATCTTGATGTGCAACAAGTCCTCTATGGGAACATCTCTATGCATGCCTCCCATGCCAACCAGCAGAGACAACCAGTGTCCACAATGTCTGCTGCTTACCGGCAGAATGTTCTAGCAGCCCAGCAACAAGCACACTTGAAAAACCAGCCCAATGCTGCCTTGTTGAAACAACAACAGCAGCAGCTGGCACGTCTGCCCAACAACATGGCGAACGCAATGTCTAATAACATGGGATCTGCTATGCCCACCTCCATGCCTACCAGTATCCCAGGTGCCTTGCCTGTCCAGGCTCAGTCTTGGCAGCAGCAGCCACCCCAGCAGCATCCAGCTCTCCAATCTGGCTCTGCGAATGGAGCCATGCCAGCTGGTTTCCCCAATTCCAGCTTTCACATGCAGTCAAGGTTGACTAAACTTCCCAACAACACCCCATTTCCCCAAGGGGGCATGGGGAACAGTGCGGCAGGTAGAACCATGGGAGGTATGAATCCTGGACAAATGATGACTAACATGAACCAGCAACGGACAAATAACCCAGGCATGCCCCAGCAGCTGCCACCTCCAGTCCAGCAGACAGCCCAGCAGGGTCAGCCACAAGCACCACCGCAAACCCAGCAGGTTTTGCCTGACTTGGGGCCCTTTAGCCAAGCACAGGCCGTACCCAACCGCACCACAGGACTTCAGTGCAATCAGGCCTACCAGCTCAACAGGGCGGCCAATCAGCAGCTCCAGTTCAGCTACAACACCCAATCGGGAGGCAGCTTGTCTGGGTTTCCAGCCGAGACTGATTTAGTGGATTCTCTGTTGAAGGATCAGTCGACACAACAGTGGATGGACGATATAGATGAGCTTTTGGCCAGTCACCAATGAGTGACACCAAAGCTAGTGCCTTCGATAGACAAGATAGCGTGAAGATCCAGATTTTGGATGATTTGTGAGATGGTGAACCTGCTTGCATCACATGGTCAGATCTGCTGTGTTCTCTTTTGAATATATCTATATATATATATAATGGTGTATATAATGGAAGTCAAGTAGAGCACAGAGCCTGCCTCACAGAAGTGTTCTCTGGACTTAAAATTTCAAAGAGGGAAATGCTCTACTACTGAACCTGTGGCTCAGTAAAACCACTGAATTTTCCTATATAATGAGTTTGTGCTCATGAATGCGTTCAGCTGTTCGTCCAGTTGGGTTGCCTTTGTGTTCACTGTAGGCATGAAGAGGCTATGTTCAGTATCAGGAAGGTCTTGACACTTCCGCATGCCTTATAATTGCACTCCTGAAGAGGCACAAAATGATTTACAATTTAAAGCAATAGTTCTCAAATAGTGCTCAAACGGTTCAAACCCATATCATTTTATTTTCTTCTTTCTTTCATAGGGTGACCAGTTCGTGAGGGCAAACCTTCAGCAGTGTTTAGCTTCAAACCAAACTAAACATCAGTCTTGAGCCCATTGAATCATTCTCAGTATTGCACAGCCATTCCTTGAATGGGAATAAAGGAGTAACAGTCAGGTCCAGAAATATTGGTACCTCGACACAGTTCTAACATTTTTGGCTCTATACATTAACACAAAAGATTTGAAATGAAACAATCAAGATGTGCTATAATTTGAGGGTATTTTTTTCCAAATCTGGTGAACGGTGTAGGAATTACAACAGTTTGAACTCTGGACCTTTTACCTGCTCATTGTATTTGGAATTATGAGGGAATAACACACCTGGCCACGGAACAGCTGGAAAGCCAATTGTCCCATTACTTTTGGTCCCTTAACAAGTGGGAGGCACATATGCAAACTGTTGTAGTTCCTACAGCGTTCAAATGATTTGGATCCAAATAACCTCAAATTAAAGCTGACAGTCTGCAGTTAGAGCACATCTTGGCCATCATTTCAAATCTATTGTGTTGGTGTATAGAGCCAAAAATGTTAGAATTGTTTTGATGTCCCAATATTTTGGACCTGACTCTGTGTAAACTGAATCTTAGGCCCAATCCCAACTCTACCTCTTAGCCCTTTCCCTTACCCCTACCCCTCGTTTTTTTGCATTCACATGAAGGGTTAGGGGTGTCCTAATTCTCTTTAGCTTGAAGGCATAGTGCTAAGGGGAAGGGCAAGATGACCCTTAAAGTGAAGATTTTCCAGGACCAAACTAGAAACTCTTGAGTATAGAAATTTTCCAGAGTACACCAGCTACAACGACAAAATGGCTGCAGATGCACAGTAAGGAGACTTTTACAACAACCAAGCATATGTTTTATTATATTAGTGTTTTACAATCATGCTTGTCCCATTACTTTGCGGTAAATTTGAAGCCCTTCCTTTTACATTTTGTTTCAAGGGCCAAGGGGAAGGCGTATGGGGTAAAAAACAAACAATTGGGATTGGGCCTTACTTGTCGCAATATTGTTCATGACTTCTAAAAGTGATGATTATGTACTAAACTGCTCTTCACAAAAGCAGTTTATTCAGCGTACTGAAGCTTCATTAACATTCTTTGATAAACAAATGTGGAAAGCGGCGTCCAGAGCAGGATCTGACACCCCTGCTTTTATAGGACACAGTAGGAGATGTTTATCACAAATCTGACACCATTTGTATGAGCATTGTCTCATTTTAAAAAAGAAAGTTAAATGAGTTTGCAACAAGAATTGCCAAAAAAGTGATTCTTTGAGTTTCACGTGGTTTGTAGTCATTGGATAATTTCACATTAATCTTGTAAGGTAGATGTTTGTTTTAATCAGATTATCACAGGAATAGAAAGATCTGATGAACTCTTCAGTGAACATGGGGATGCATATGTTACACTACGTTTTTCCTTCTTTCTCTCGCTCTCTGGAACTGAACTAGTAAGCCCAGAGTTCTAGATTTCCATGTTGGTGAGAGGGTTAATATTCCTGCTTTTCTCCCTCTGGTGCCTGATGATGTTACATGAAGGCAGGTCAGGTGCTGGTCTGAACTGTGTCGCCTGAACTCTTGCTTCATCTGAGATTCTGTGACAGGATTTCATGTATATTTATATATTTTTTGTATGTATGCAGTTTCTATTGTTCTGAAGAAGATAGATCTTATTTTTATATGTACATTGTTGCAAATTTTTGTAAGTATTTTATACTTTTATTATTGTTCTCTGAAAAACAAGAGTATAGTGTAAATATAGTTCTCTAGAAATGGGTTTGTTGTGTGTTTATTTGGTACTACAACGAGTGCCTTTAATGTAATGTGCATATTGTGTAGTTACATATTCTCATAAATGTGCTCTAAATACTTTCCATTAAGGTTTGAGGTGGAATAGAAGCATGACCAATTTAAGAGTGAAATCTTTTTCTAGAAACTGTTAAATTGTTCATTCATTTATTTTCTTGTCGGCTTAGTCCCTTTATTAATCCGGGGTCGCCACAGCGGAATGAACTGCCAACTTATCCAGCAAGTTTTTACGCAGCGGATGCCCTTCCAGCCGCAACCCATCTCTGGGAAACATCCACACACACTCATACACTAGGGACAATTTAGCCTACCCAAGTCACCTGTACCACGTACCACATGTCTTTGGACTGTGGGGGAAACCAGAGCATCTGGAGGAAACTCACGCGAACGCAAGGAGATCATGCAAACTTCACACAGAAACGCCAACTAAGCCGAGGCTCGAACCAGCGACCTTCTTGCTGTGAGGCGACAGCACTACCTACTGAGCCTAAGGGTTTCAACCTTATTATTTTAATCTAAATATTATTAAATAATGAACTGTAACACAAATAGTCTGCTTAAATATGCACCAATCACTGAACAATTTTTTCTGTGTGTTATTTATCGCAATGTGTATATAAGGGGTTATACAACAAATATAATATAACAAAATATATACAATAGATGACTGCGAAATAGGAGAATGAAATCAGTAATTAGAAAAGGGAGAAAAATAAAAATACACAAAATTAATGCTGGGTTGTTTGAATCCAACTTTGGGTAAAAAAAAAGGGGGGGAGAGCGGTGACAAAAGTAGCATGGGACGAAAGTCACAGTGATTTTTCTTGAAACCCTGATAACATTTGATTTCAAGGCTATAACAGCACGTTCAGCATGCTACCCTTGATAGAGCTGCCAAGTATCATGTGATTTTGGGACTGTGTCTGCGGTTGGGTCCAAATTTGTATTTTTCTGTTATTTTTATGGCAATGTTGATGTGTTTGATCTTGGCGGTATAGATCTGCTATGCTGCTGCTATGCTGATTATTATAGCAGAGCAAGTACAGAAACCTGCTACTTCCGGTTGTATACACAGACATGCCATCTGAGAATATAACATGCTGCTGCTGCAAACATAATATATGTACCCCCTGTAGCAGATCTAACACAGGTGGAGCTGGGGTGGAGGAGGGTCTCTGAAAATGCACTGCAGCTTAACAGCGTAAAACAACAAGGAACATAATGATGCAGGAACGAATTATGTGACTTATCAGCCTGTGTGCATAGAGTTTCATGGCAGAAACTTTAGTTAAGTGCAAAAAGTTAATTATTGTAGTGTTTTTTTTTATGTTTATTACAAGTTGTGTTTCTCTTTTCATGTCACACTAATGATCAAACTACATGTTATTTAGTTCAGTAACTCATCCTTGAGTTGGCAATGTATCAGTTTTTCAGTTTAAAAGTAAATCAGGTTTAAATGGCACGAGTTCCTGTGGGGACAAAAGTAACTGTTATTTATGTCCTACTGTTAATAGCCATGCCTTACTTTTCTTTTCCACATTAGTTTTCAGTGTTTCGATATGTTTTATAAGATTAATGCATATTAGATTAAATTAATCTTTATTTTTGTAGCGCTTTTACAATGTAAATGTAGACTAGAGTGTCAAAGCAGCTTAACAAAGAAGATTATAGTAGAGTTTAAGTTCAGTTTAGTTCAATTCAGTGTGGTTTAATTTTCACTGCTGAAAGTCCAAACACTGAAAAGCAAATCCATTGAAGTCTCAAACCATCCAAGCCAGTGGCGAGGAACAAACTTCACCAATTGACGAAAGTGAATTGGAAAAAAACTTCGAAAGAAACCAGGCTCAGTTGGGCTCGACCCTTTCTCCACTGGCCAAACTTCTTGTTCAGAGCTGCAGTCTAGGCACCGGAAGCTTGTGATGTCTATCGTGGAGGATATATTGCCAATAATAATAATTAAAAAAATATATATATATATATATATATTTTTTTTACATTGTTAAACTGCTTTTAAAACATTTGATTGAAGTTAAATTTAAAAGAAAATGTTTTTTTATTTCTTGCAAAAACAGGCCAAAATATGTTTGCAGTGAACATTAACAAGGTAATAGTCAGATATATTTAAAATACATATAAAATGGGGTCAAAAGTAACAATGTGCAACTTTTGTTTAAAGTGAAGTTATATTGGAGTTGTTCTACATTGATGCAAAATAACACCCGATTTTGATCGACCACTGTTGTCAATTTTGTAAATACAGCAAAAATATATTTCTGCTAAACACATTATCTTTTAAAATTAATTTGTCTATCTACCTATCACCAGTTACAGTTTACATTAATATAGAAATTATTAAATTACATAAAAACTCAAAGTGATCACTCATGTCATCTAAAATTATTTTGCCACAGTACAGTAACATGGAAATATAAGACAAATTTTTCTTAAGGTAAAGGGCTATGCTAAATTTCAGATCATTCCACAATTCTTAACCAGGAAAAAAATATGAATATCTTCATTTCTAGGTGTTGAAAGAGATTTCTGTCAGTGGTGTAATGTGTCCCGCCCACATAGTCATACTGATATAAATACCTGAAGGTAGAGTCAGTGAGTGTGCTTTGGTCAGAGGTGGACAGTCTGTTGACTGACCTCATTGTCCACGGGAAAGATGCTGGACCAGATAGTGCTGTTAGCAGCGGTCACAGTGCTGGGGCTGCTGGAACAAGGTAAATTACTATACATCGTAGAAAATACAATGTATAATAAATACAAATCTTTGTGTTATGTGTCACTGTTATTATCATAATTTGCCAGTTTAACTGGATGACGAAACATGTTTGAGTTGTATAGTTATACATTTTTCATAAACTGTTATATGTAAGAAATGTATTCGGTATTCTAATTGTTGCAATGTTTTTTGCCTGTGGTAGCTGGACTTTGAACAAATTGATGATCATTTACAAACCATTTGATAAGCCCTAGGTTTCCTGTTATTTACTATAAACCATTTGATAAATCCATGTTACCATTATACTTGAGGCTTAGCTATGTTCAAAGGATTTTTGGTTACACTTTATTTTACAGTTCTGTTTCAGAGTACATGTGTCATAAATGAGGTATGTCCGATTCGACTTACCTCTGAGCCTAACCTTAACCTGTTGTTCCTCATAATTTCAGCATGGCACATAGCTGTAAAATACAGTGCAACCTAATTAAATATGAAATACGTTCTGTAACACTTCCTAAAACATCAAGCTACTTTTACATTAACATTTAAATTATTATCTTTTTTGTTTGAGTTGAGGTGGTAGCCTAAATGTGTTTTGCTTCCCGTCAGCGTACTTCTCTCTGCAGGTGATCTACGCTCGGAGAAAGTATGCGGTCTCTCCTCCTGCCACTTCTGGACCACCGGAGTTTGAGAGAATCTTTCGAGCCCAGTAAGTTAGACGAAAGAAATGAATAAACGAAGGGTTAAGATGCAAAAAAAAAAAAAAACTCTAAATGCCGTTTAATATAATCAGCATTTTCTCGAAACCCTGTGTACGGAGAGTTTAGTAAAGTTTTGACAAATAACTAATTTTCGTTGTTTTTAAAGTGAAATAACTGAGCATAAACAAAGGAGACGAGAGTTTCAGATGGCATTTAGAGGCTTTTGCATCTGAACTCTTCTAATATAGACACGACGACCACCCTAAGAGGGATGTTGTTCACGGCGACTGGCTTGTCTCATTTGCCTGTCGTCTTTTTGTTTCGCCAGAGCAAACTGTTCCGAATATTTCCCCATATTCGTCTTTTCGCTTTGGTTGGCTGGAGTTTTCTTTAGTCAAGGTGAGTTTCAGTTTCCCTCAAAATATGAACAGACAGACAGACAGACAGACAGACAGACAGACAGACAGACAGACAGACAGACAGACAGACAGACAGACAGACAGACAGACAGACAGACAGATAGATAGATAGATAGATAGATAGATAGATAGATAGATAGATAGATAGATAGATAGATAGATAGATAGATAGATAGATAGTAAGCCTAAATGATGATGGACATTGTGATTTTGGCTGAACTATCCCAAATTTTCTTGGACGTTTCAAGTCTGTATAAATATGAGCTGGCAACTGGTTTAAATAGGGTTTGAGTTAAACAAATATAACATAAATAATGTTATGAAATAAATAAAAAAATCAGATACACATTCTGTTACACACTCTTAAACAGTTTTTAACACCCCAAGCACATTTCCACTCCAAATGTTCCTTATAATCCCAACATGCACATTTTCCAGAATCTATCCAGCTTTCTATAAACTCGTAGCGCTTAAAAAACTCTTGATTTATTAAAAAATGTTGATGTTTAAAAGAATGAAATAGTTTAACTGGCCTGTTTTAGTGTTTTCGATACAGGGAAAGGATGGGAGGGCAGCAAAACTCCAGTTTAAACTGGTATATAGAAATGACTAGACTGTGACTAGATTAGGCTTCATTGTGTTTAGATTAGATATGAAAGTTTTTTGTTTAAACAGCCCTCATATCTGATATTAATTTCCCTCACACCACCACATCTAATACCCCAGATTTGCATATAAACAAAAACAGAATCCTTAAAATAATGTTTATGCAAAATATTGTTCATTGTTGCTTTGTTGTACTCTTCAAACAACACCTAAAGTTAAAGGAATGAAACAAATCTAAATAAAAGGGTTGGGCATCCTGGAGAGCCACTGTCCTGCAAACTTTTGCTCCAACACTAAATCAAACAAACCTGAAAAAGCTGATCATTAACTATGTTTACATGTACATCAGAAATCAAATTATTTGCCTTAATCTGAATAAGACAATAATGTGACTAAAGTGTTTATATGAGTTCCTTTTTTGAATGTTAATTTCATGATCCCGTTTTATATGTTATAGCATATAACTCGATTACCGTCATTGCGTCAGCATGCTATCAACATTTCCTGCAGAGTTTTATGTAAATTCAGGTGTTTTATTTTTATTTGTCGACTTTAACTGCAGTTTGACACTTTCACTTTTATTCTGGAAAATTTCATGCATGCCCCCCTTGACAAAGAGGTGAAGAGTGTTGTTTAAATGGAATTTGATACTGCACTGCATATGGGAAAATTAAATAACCTTTATTTGTATTGCGTGTTTACAATGTAGATTGTGTCAAAGCAGTTTCACATAAAAGATCATGGTAAATTGAAATAGTGTAGTTTAGTTTTTAAAGTTTAGGTTCAGTTTAGCTCAGTTCAGTGTGGTTTAATAATCACTACTGGGAGTTCAAACACTGAAGAGCAAATCCACCGATGCGCAGCTCTACAGATTCCGTTCCATGCAAGCTAGTGGCGACCGCGGCATGGGAAAAAAAAAAATTCAGTTGGCGAAAGTGAAGAAAAAACCTTGAGAGAACCAGGCTCAGATGGGTACGACCATTTCTTGTGCTGAGCTGCAATCTAAGCTCCGGGGGCTGAAAGCTGGGCCTCAGCGAAGATTCGTCTGCCCCTGGAGCGTTACAGGGATCAGTCTCATGCTCTCCACTCCTCCATGACCACCACGGCCTGGTCCAGGATATGGAAACTTTGGGATCATTTTGTTGCTGGTCTTAAATCGAATCAGTGGAGCTGCGTGGTCTGAGGGCCTCAGGATGAGTATCCTCAGCTGAAAATAGAGAATAAAGAGAATAATTAGCATAGCTGCTGTTCATAGTGTATATAAAACAAGATGCAGAAACCTGTGTGGAGCACATTCATGTATCATACTGCTAGTGATACACTGAGTGTATGCTTTAGTAAAAAAGATAGGTCTTTAATCTAGTTTTGAATTGGGAGAGTGTGTCTGAGCCTCGGACATTATCAGGATGGCTATTAAAAAGTTTAGGAGCCATAAATGAGAAGGCTTGACCTCCTTTGCTCGACTTTGCTATTCTAGATACTACCAGAAGCCCTGGGTTTTGAGATCTTAAAGAGCAGGTTGGATTGTAGCAAGACAGAATGTTGGTTAGATAAACAGGAGCTAGATTATTTAGAGCTTTATAGGTGAGGAGTAATATTTCAAATTCAATACGAAACTTAACAGGCAGCCAGTGTAGGGAGGATAAAATTGGGGTGATATGATCATATTTTCTAGACCTGGTAAGAACTCTGGCAGCTGCATTTTGCACTAGCTGTAGTTTGTTAATAGATGATGCTGGGCGGCCAGCAAACAGAGCATTACAGTAATCCAGTCTAGAAGTCATAAAAGCATGAACTAGCTTGAACTAGCTTTCTCAGATGAAAGAAGGCAGTTTTTGTGACATGGGATATATGATTTTCAAAAGTTATATTGCTGTCTAATATGACACCCAGAACTTTTATAGTAAAGCTAACGCTAACTTTGTAACCCTTAAATTGCAGGTCGAGTTGTGAAATCTACTGTGTACAGGATTTAGGCCCAATAAGTAATAATTCTGTTTAAGAGAAGAAAATTGTTGGTCATTCAGTCTTTAACATCTTTAATACACTCAGTTAGCTTAGAAAGTTCAGGCATCTCATCAGGTTTAGTTGAAATATATAATAGAGTATCATCTGCATAGCAGTGAAAGCTGATCCCATGTCTTCTAATAATGTCTCCCTGGGGTAGCATGTATATTGTAAACAGCAAAGGGCCTAAAACTGATCCTTGAGGAACCCACTGGGATGATGTGAAGACTCTCCATTAATATTCTCAAACTGGTAACGGTCAGCTAAGTATGACTTAAACCATTGTAGAGCCTGTCCCTGGACACCTGTAGACTTTAAGCAATTTATGAGGATATTGTGATTAATGGCGTCAAATGCCGCACTAAGATCCAGTAAAAGTAATAGCGAGATGCACTTTTGGTCAGCAGCTAAGAGTAGATCATTGGTTATTTTCACTAATGCGGTTTCTGTGTTGTGATGAGCCCTGAACCTGACTGAAACACTTCAAAACATTGTCTGTAGAAAGGAGCATAATTGGGCAGAAACAACTTTTTCTAGTATTTTAGACATAAATGGAAGATTTGAAATAGGCCTATAGTTAGCTAAGTTGCTGGGGTCCAGTTGTGGTTTCTTAATAATAGGGTTAATAACAGCTAGCTTGTAAGGATTTGGAACATGGCCTAAAGATAAAGAAGTTTAAGAATTTTGTTGGAATTGGGTCCAACATACACGTAGCTGGTTTAGAGCTATTTATAGAGTTTAGAGCTTCCTGTTCTATGATTTTAAAGCACTGTAGGTTATTTTGATTCAGTGGAATGTTTACTGGATCGGATGTTTAAGGCAATGCAGAAAGTTTAACATCTTCTATTTTCTGTCTAAAGCCTTCTATTTTATCACTGAAAAAAGTCATCACTACTAATATAGGGTGGAACATTTTTTTGTAAGGAAGACCGATTATTTGTTCATTTTGACTAAAGCATTTATTTAGTTGTTCAAGCGTAAATGAGATGAAAGGCCATTTAAATACAAGCGCTATGAGGAGCAGAAGCTGAGTGCAGAAATTCCATTGAAAATACTGTGGTAATTTTTTTTTTTTTTTTGAAAAATGGAATTTAATGCAAGGACTGTTTCTTATTTGTTAGCAGTGTTAAGGTAATGCATTACAAGTAATGCAAGTTACATAATAATATTACTTTTCTAAGTAACGAGTAAAGTAACACATTACTTTCAACCCTCTACCGCACACATTATGATAAATCTGTAAAATATATATATTGGACTGTTTTTTAATTTTTTTTTAAATGGCTTAACTTTAAGTGCTGTAAAAATATTGGAAAAAATGTTTTTTTTAAGGTATGATACGTTACCATATGGCAACAATATCAAACAGCGGATCTAACTTAGAAATTTCAAATTTAAAGATGCATCAGATGCATCATATATCCAGATGAATCAGAATAATGTAGCTACTAGCTAACAATTTGTACAGTATGTATGTGTGTGTGTGTGTATATATATATCTGAGCTAACTTACCTGAACTTTCTCTATCAAATGTCCAGTCTGCATCATTCTCATGGTCACTAAAACCCATTTCACCCTCACTTTCATCTGCAGGAAGAGCCACTTCTGCCCTTTTCTTGTTTCACTTACCATAAAACAAGGTGGTGCTCATACACTGTTCCCTGTATTCATATCTATTCAAAAGTAGTATTGCCATTAAAACTAGATTTTATCCATAATGCAAATACCATTAACACATGACTGATCAACAATATATTACTAGCATTCATGTTGTTATTGTTACAACTTAAAAGTTCACAGTTGACCTGGCTAGCTAGCTAAGCCATTGATATATTGCATGTTCAACTATTGCACAGTGTTGTCATTTGGTAACACACACATTTGAATGATTTACAAAAAACTTATTTGATAAAAAAAAAAAAAAAATTGAGTTGTGAATATGTCTGTCAGAAATCGCTCTACAGAAAAACACTGGATGTCATGTGACTTAAACAAAGCACATCATTGGCTACTCTAAGTTCCTCTCTTTCTAATAATAAAAAAATATGTTGGTCTCAAAGAAACAGTGTTGCCATATGGTTACGCCGTGCACAAGAGGGTTAAAAATTAAGTAATAATATTTGAGTAAATTTTTTTTAAAATGATTTAATTTAATTAATTAATATGCTTTTAAAAATAGTTTGCTGAAATAAAATGAGTGTAATCACATTGAAGCACACTCAGTGAGATGAGCTTTGAGCTCCCCACAAAAACAGATAAAAGATTGTCAGAGCGTTACATTTCTGTGACGGAAGTATTCTTGTTATTTTGAACAGATGGAAGAAAACAGGATAGTCTCAATTGACAGTGATTTTACTGAAGTAATAACACAAAAATAACAAAAACAAATTGCTTAAAACTTTCATTAATCTGTATATATGGCATGTAGAGCATCATGAAGTTCTCAGAAGGTAACATTATTCTAAATCTTTTTCATACGTTTTTTTAAAAGGTAAATGAAGGTCATACAGTGTTTCGTTAAATGCAGACTTCTTCTATTTAAAAAAATGCACATCTTTTTTATCATATAACAATATTATCCAACTCAGTTGTGTGCATATGTTTTTTTATGCGCATTTTCAAAATGTATGCGCATCTTAACGTTTATGTCAAATGTTTTTTTAAGCACATACCCAAAATGTGCATAGAAATAGGTGGATGGAAATGTAGCTACTGTTTGTGAGACATAATATTCTGTCCCAATCAGGTTGTGACAATCACTGATTTTACAAAAATCAGATCTTAAAAGCAATAAGTTTATAATGGTATGACATGACACTTCAACAGAAGCGCCTGAGCTGGCTTATTCAGAATTAAAAGTCCCCTTGTGTATGGACTTTTGTTCACGTTTCCAGGTATCAGAAGTCCTCATAGTTGAGTAAATTTAAAGCGCAGTGAATGGGAAAGTACAACATAGTTTTTTTTGTTTTTTTTTTGCAATTCTATTTGCTGAAATAATAGAGGAAAAAATAGTGTGAGACTGATACAGCAGCCAGAAGAGAAAACAACGTCAAATACCCTGTTTATACACTGTGCATTTCACATGCCTTGTACAAGCAGCAATTCGTTTTTTCTAATTTGATGCAAAGATGATACAATACATACATGAATCCATATAAACACATTTTTGAAATCTAAATATTAAAAACTTTCAAAAATTTAAGATGTTGATGATTGTTATACGCATCATAACAGTCTTGTGAAAAGGGTTCATAACACGTTGCAAGTTCAGCCAGCAGTTTTAAGATTTCAGGATTCCCCCATTCATTTAGATAGAACTTTGGTCTTGGATTAACTGTCCAGAGATGCAAATATGGCCGCTGAGTGAATGGATGTTCCTTGAAAGGGACTTTGAATTCAGCTAGTGAAAAATAATGTTTTGGAAGCAAACATTAGGTCTTCGATTACATCACTGTAAATCCTTCATTCTGGAGTTACACTAATACACTGTAAAAAATCCTGGTTGCCTTAAAATTTTAAGCGGAATCAAATTAACCGTATGAGTCCATTAAACGTATATCATGTTAAACTGACTTAAAACAGCTTGCGTAACACAAAAAATTAAGTTAGAACACAATGACCTATAAACATATGTTGTCATGACTAATTGATCAGGTCATTTTTTACAGTGTAAGAACAAACCAATGTATTAAATGATTTTCCCACTCTCTAGTTTTGGCAGTGATCTTTGGGCTCCTGTACCTTTATGGTCGCTTTCGGTACTTCCATGGCTATGCAGAGTCTTCTAAGGGCAGGTCAGTGATCCAGTACAGTAATGTTGATGTTTGTTCGGTCCTGTTCCTCACCTGTTCCTCTCTGCTGGCAGACTGGAGCCGCTGTACTTCAGTGCAAAGATGCAGTGGGTGCTGATCGCTCTTGCTGGACTGGGGATTATCTGCACTTTGACGCAGGTTTATCTGGGATTGGACCTGCTGCATACCTTTAGTCATGTTCTGGGCCTGACTGAACAAACATGAAGGGCTAGTTGTCATCAGGAAACTGTTAACAGGATAACTTTAAGTGTGTAGTTTCTGCACTACCGGTGCTACTAGAAAAATTAAGCATAGATTATAAAATTATGCATATTCTTTTTAATATTTTATTAGTTTGTAAGAGGCTTTGTAGTAAAATGTTGACAAGTATGGCAAAAGCTTAAAGAGATAGTTCACCCAAAATGAAAATTTACTTACAATTGACTCTCCATCAAGTGTATCTAACCCTAGTAGCAAAGAATTCTGACCCAGATTTGGCATAAAGCTGGCATAGCAGCAATTCATCCGGCACTGGCATACAGCATGTGGGCCAAACATGGCCCGGGTTTGGCAGAGGTGGCACCATCTTTAAGGCGGCACAAAAGATTTGGCCCAGATTTTAAAAATTCATATGTGGGCCATGTGAGTTTGGCCAGTCTTGACCCACATTTAAAATACACTAAAATAATTTTTGAGTAAAGAAAATATTCTACCAATCAGGTCACTTTGAGAAAAAGCATGCCCATAGTGTGCCTAAAGCGCAGCGCTTCATGGGTTTATCAATTTCATTGCAATTGTGACACACCAACCTATCTGGCCCAGTTCAGGCCCAGTGATGAGTTATTAACTTTTCTAAACTTGACCCAGATATGGTCTGTGTTTGGCCCTTGTCTGGAAGCCAAATTTGGTCCAGTCATGTTCCATAATTCACTGCGGCATGTGGGCCAAGCAAAACCTGATTGTGTGGGCCAGAGCTGGGCCAGAGAAAATTTGCTATGTGGGAAATCTTTATGAGTTCCTTTATTCTGTTGTACACAACAGAAAACATTTTGAAGAAAGATGAAAACCATAGACATAAATAATATTAAATATAAATACTATGGAGGTCAATGGTTATAGGGTTTGTCAAAAATCTTCTTTGTGTTCAGCAGAAAAGAAGTCAAACAGGATTGGAACAAGTGAAAGCTGAGTAAATGATGACCATGATCAGTTTTGGGTGAACTATCCCTTTAAGGCTAGCTTACCTGTTGAAAAGAAACTCAAATTTGATGTCTCAATTGAAACCCAAACTATTAAATAATGTACCTCCATCTTGTAAAAACACTGCCAAAGTTTATATCTGTTTCATTATATTGTCTGCATATTTTTGTAAGTCCTTACAGTTCAATGATCAAATCAGCCCCACTGGCTAAATACTGGTAAAGTCTAGAATGGATAAAGCTGTGGATTGGACATGCACACACCAATATGGCATCATTTTTGTGGCATTGTACGACAATAATTACTATTTTTATTTTATTTTACTGTTATGAATAGATTTAGGGTTGGGGTAGATGTTAATAAAATACAATGTAATGGGTAATTTATTGAATAATATTGATAATTCTTTTTAAATTCTGACTGGGGCGACGCAGTTGCGCAGTAGGTAGTCCTGTTGCCTCACAGCAAAAAGCTGTCAGTTGGTATTTCTGTTTGGAGTTTGCATGTTCTCCCTGCATTTGCGTGGGTTTCCTCTGGGTGCTACGGTTTCCCTCACAGTCCAAAAACATGTGGTTACAGGCGAATTGGGTGGGCTGAATTGTCCGTAGTGTGGGTGTGAGTAAGTGTGTTTGGATGTTACCCAGAGATGGGTTGCAGCTGGAAGGGCATCCGCTGCGTAAAACATGTGACATGAGTTGGCGGTTAATATCGCTGTGGCGACCCCAGATTAACAAAGGGACTAAAACGAAACGAAAATGAATAAACTTCTGTCTGGAGCTGTATCTCTTCTAGCAACAACCCTTAAAACCCTCTGGCTCAGCCGCGTGTTACAGCAGCGATGCCCAAAACGTTTGGTTTTGGTTGACCTGGAAATGATTGACATATTTGTGCAGTTACAGCCGGCTCTTAAACTGCAACAAAAAGGAGGACCAGATGCAATCAAATAATATTTATTTTAACATAACAATGACTTATATACTATCAAGTAAATAAAAAGATAAGTCAGGGTCCAAAAAGAGATGGTCAGCGCAGCTTAACCGAGCTCCATGCCAAGGCAATCAATCGCTCAAAATACCAGCTACGTTACAAGCATACCAAACGCTGTTTATATCTATGTCCCAATGAGCGACACATGTGTACCAATCACGTCATTTCCAACGTAACTGAAACATACGTTCAATGTGTTTATGGTGCGCAGAATGTTTAATAGTTAGTTTAGTGGTTAATGTACAAATCTTGCATACTTCATCTTTAAGGACCTGCAATGGTGCTTCGACAAAACCAAATCTGATACAAAAGGATCTAAATTATTTCTTTGTATGATTAATTTAACTTTGGGAGTACTGTACAGTTGCACTAAACTGATTTTTTTTATTGCTTTAAATGTTTTTTTTATTAATCACTGTTTTAAATTGAATTTCTTTTTTCTCCTCTAAAGATATTAGATGGTCTTGATAACCTATTTATAAATGTCTCTATAGGCTAGACACAAAGTGTGAGTTTGCCATTTATTTTGTACACATGCAAAACAAGCAGCAATAAACACTGTTCCCTGGAAGTTGTTTAATTTGCTTATTACTGTTTGTATTTACAATTCGAAACAAACTAAAGTTTTTTATAGGCATTTTTTCCCGAACAAACAGTGTGCATTCATGGAGATAAAGGAATTATGCATTTATGTTGTCGTTGTTTTTTCATTCACTTAAGATAACATGGTAACACTACTGTATGGTTTCATTATCTCATGTTAGTTCATGTATTTACTAATATAAACAAACAATATACAATCAGACCCATAAATATTGGGACATCAACACAATTCTAACATTTTTGGCTCTATACACCAACACAATAGATTTGAAATGAAATGAACAAGGTGTGCTTTAATAGCAGACTGTATACTTTAATTTGAGGATATTTACATCCAAATCAATCTTTTAATCCCTTAACAAGTGGGATGCACATATGCTAACTGTTGTAATTCCGACAATGTTCACCTTATTTGGATGTAAATACCCTCAAATTAAAGCTGACAGTCTGCAGTTCATTTCAAATCAACTGTGTTGGTGTATACAGCCAAAAATGTTAGAATTGTGCCCCAATATTTTTGGACCTGACTGTATGTAATACAGTATTTTCTTAATCTTTGTTAACATTAGTTAATGAAAATAAGATCATTCATTGTTAGTGCTTGTTAATTCACAGTGCATTAACTAATGTTGATCAGCATAACATTTCATTAGTAAATGTTAAACTAGGATTATTAAATGGAGTTCAAGTGTTGTTTTTTATTAGTTCTTTTTAGTAAATACATAAACTAATGGAATCTCACTATAAAGTGTGAGCACTAACGCTTGTCATAAATAAAACATAAAAAGTAATACAATTTGAATAATTTGTTGAGTAATTTTACTAAATTTAATTATTGTTATTTTACTAAAAGGTTCTAAAGTGTAAACATTAAGTAGGCTATATTAATTTTAGTTCTATCAGGGTTACTTAGCTACATTTACATTTACAAATAGTTATGAAAATCAAACATTGCTTCTATTAATGTTATGTATTATATTTGAGTTATCATAATCTAACAATGAATGACTGTATTTTCATTTTCTGACATTAACAAATAAATATAGCAGTAGATTTATTGCTAATTGTCGATTGTTAATGCACTGACTAATGTTAAATAATGATACTTTTCATAATGTAATAAGTGCTACTCATTATTTTGCCATTTTTCATTCATTCATTCATTTTCTTTTCGGCTTAATCTCTATTAATCTGGGGTCACCACAGCTAAATGAATTTTAATATTAATTTACTTTCAGAAGAATCACATGACTGAAGGCTAGCATAATGGCTGAGCTAATGCTTCAAATGATGTGGGAAAAGAGACCACTGCAATCATTGCATATTCATTCATTCATTTATTTTCTTTTTGGCTTAGTCCCTTCATTAATCTGTGGTCGCCACAGCGGATTAAACCGCCAATTTATCCAGCATATGTTTCACGCAGCGGATGCCCTTCCAGACTCAACTCATCACTGGGCAATATCCATACACACTCATTCTATAAACATGCACTAAGGACAATTTAGCCTATCCAATTCACCTACAGCGCATGTCTTTGGACTGTGGAGGAAATCAGAGCACTGGAGGAAACCCACGTGAACACAGGGAGAACATGCAAACTACTCACAAAAATACCAACTGACCCAGCTGGAGCTCAAACCAGAGACCTTTTTGCCTTTTAAGGCAATTGTGCTACCCATTGTGCCACCGTGCTGCCCTATTTTGCCATTTTGTAATATGTACTTTTTACTTCATGCACCATGTGTCATATTTAATCTCATTTTTTTTATGACAGAGATTATAACTTCATTATATAGAGATAATTTTACCAAGGGAGAATGTTTTTAAAAAATTGAAGAAGTCTCTTCTGCTAACAAATTCTGCATTTACATCATCCAAAGTACAGATCAAAATAATAATTCTAAAAACATGTTTTTACTATTGAAAATAGTTTTTATTTGAATGCTTTGTAAAATGTCATTTAATCAAGTGATTTTAAAGCTGGCATTTTTTCATCATTACTATAGTCACATGATCCTTCAGAAATCACTCTGCTATGCTCATTTGCTTATTAATATTATTTTCAATATGTGAAAACTGTTGACTTTTTTTTTCAGGATAACTTAATGAATAGAAAGATCCAAAGATCATCATTTCTCTGAAATAAATACCTTTTGTAAAATAATGCAGTATATATAGAATAAAAGCAATTTTTTTATTTTTTTAGAACCATTTTAAGGACAAAATTATAAGCCCCTTTAAGCGATATTTTTTGATACAGAACAAACCACCGTTATACAATGACTTTCCTAATAACCCTAACCTGCCTAGTTAACCTAAATAACCTAGTTAACCCCTAAAATGTCACTTTAAGCTGAATAGAAGTGTCTCGAAAAATATCTAGTCAAATATTATTTACTGTCATCATGGCAAAAATAAACTAAATAAGTTATTAGAAATTAGTCATTAAAACTATGATGTTGAGAAATGTGTTGAAAAAAAAATCTTCACTGATTAAACAGAAACATATATACTGACTTTAGTTTGAATTTTAAACATAACAGTTTTAATAACTAATTTCTAATAACTGGTTTCTTTTATCCTTGCCATGATGACAGTAAATAATATTTGACTAGATATTTTTCAATATACTAGTATTCAGCTTAAAGTGCTTAACTTGCTTAAAGAAAAAAATAAAGGCTTAATAAGGCAAGTAATTGTATAACAGTGTTTTATTATTTTTTTTTGTAGACAAAAAAAAACTTTTTGCTTAAGGGGGGCTACAAAAATGCTTTTTTTGCTGTACTTCTGATTAAATAAATGAAGACTTGGTCAGCTGAATAGACTTAAAAAACCATTAGAAATATGTTTTAAAACTTTTGATATTAGTCATTACCTCTTATAAACATTATGTAATTTCTGCAGTTTATCCTGTGTGAACATTAAAAAAAAATCACTAGACTTTACACAAACCACTGCAATGTTTGACGTTCAGTCTTTGTGTGTGGTGTTTTGTGGTTCTGACCACTAGGATGCGCTACAACTTAATAGATCAGTGTCAGTGTAGTGCAAATCAGTGGGAAATTCTCATATAGATTTCTACGTCCTTTTCCTTTAGGAAAATACTGATTACATGACATTTTCAGGATATTTTGTTTGACTGATTCTAAAACAGCAAAACAGCTTCACAACAA